ATATCAGGTGTGTGTGTGTCAGCAGGAGATCGAACCTCGCATCATGTGCATGGTTGGCGAGTGTCCTAACCACTGTGCATTTCACATTCACACTTGTCTTCGTTTAAAACTATTTCAACATTTTACACAACCATCAAAAGTTTTTGGTTCAAATAGGCCATAAAGCTATGATTGGAGAATCTGTTTCTATCGTCCACCGGATATGAAGTAAACTGCGAAGCATCTCTATGTACTGAACACTACAAAAAATAGATATTATTTCACTTCGCCTGAAGTAACCGAAGCTTTGTGTGTTGAAGAAACCAGTCTAGTCATCTGTTGCACTCACCTGTAATGAAACCTGTAAATTCATAAAATTCTGAATTATTTTCCTTAATATGTCTGTTATTCTTAATTATTTATTCCTTCACGTTCCAAGTGAAATATAAGGATTCAGGCTAGAGGTTTGAAGTTTCTATAGCAATGGTGATTATTTTTACAGGATGGGGTTGCTAGCATCATGCCCAACCAGCCTTCTAACTGGCCTAGCGAGGTACAGGAGTGCACCGTCCGGGGATTGAACCTCGGACCCCCTGCATGATAGGCAAGCACTCTACCGCTGTGCCACCGACGCACTATATGATATCCAGTCTACTGTTATACTGAATAAGCCTATTATCATTTAAAGATGCTTTTCAGCCATAATCTAGTGCTATTATTGATTCGATTTAATTTGAAGCATTAATATTGTTAATAACAATAATTCCTCAAAATATAATGGACATATAAATAACAGTAGAACTGGAGAAGGAAGCAGGGAATATGCTTAACACCGCTACGGATAAACTTTATTTTGGTAAAGTCACACAGTGTCGTTATACAGTAATATTTACTGATGAACACGTTTCCAGCGCAATTTATTGCTTCATTTATATACATGAGTGAAAACTTATTTAATTCAATTTTAGATTTTCTCGTCGATTGACTGCACCGAACTGCTAGGTCTCAGTTTGACATGTTGGCTTCTTGTGTAGATGCTTCGACGATGTCTGGGCATGTAATTAGAATTTAATAGGTGGATGGTGACTAGCAGTGGAATTCAAGATGTGCATTTCGTTCTATTTGGGACTCGTCAGCCATTGGATGTACCTGCATTCCCTAGTGAGTGATAATATTCCCAACACGGCTCGAACGCAGTAACCATAGTTTTAAACGTCAAAGCGTTAACCACTGGACCACTTGGGTCACGAGAGCCACCTCTTGTGCAACAGGTCATTTTGTTTATTTAATTCGCTTTTAAACTTTCCCTTCGACTGAATAAAATAATATAAAGTACATTCGGAAATAATATAATTGTTATCAATAAAATACAGTCACATGGGAAATAAGATGGTTTTGTAGTAATATAAATAACTTATTAGAATGTTGTAATGTGAAGTGAATACATTTTAACATTGTTTATCATCCTCTGATTTGACTGGTGGTGATTATGTCTTCCATATCTCTGATATTTGCATTGAGTCATTTCTGTTGCATATGTTGGGTGTGTAGACTCTATGAACCATGCAGGATTAATTTAGAATTTTTACTCTATCCTACCCCATTGTACATGCAGTTCTATAGCTGAGTGTTTTCTAAATTACTTATCTTCTCGAGTTCAGCCATTCTAACCCTAGCTAAATTCTTATGTTCTGCCTGATCTAACAGTTTGACTAACCTATATACTTGATTCAACTCACAGTCATTGCAAGGTATTTCGAAAATTATATTAATTTGTTTAATTGGATCCACTGGGTCCTTTAGCCTACACAGCCTGTCTCTAAGTGAGTTCACAGGTTTGAATGCCACCCAAATTCTCGCTTAATTGAGCATCCTACTAAGTAGGACCTCAGATGTCCCCTCCTTATATGTTAGAACTGTAGATGCCTTACATTCTTTCTTATTTATGTTATCATTATAAGTTTTACCATTATTCTTATTTTGCTTTCGACCTTTTTTGAGTATGCTTGGTTCACTAATCTCATTTTTTTTTGAACTTCTTAAGAAGTATTTTTAATTACTTAATTAATACACTATTCACTCAAAATGAACCCAATCGCCGTTCTCCTAGAATAACAAATTAAGGCATCTTGGAATTCTCCTTTATAAGAGATATCCATTTGTAAAATGGACTGATTGTTTGGAAACTCTCTCTTGGACCATCCAATTACAACACTGATACTTATTTGGACGTTTCAACAGATGTCTTTGCTCAGTAATTAAGACATGATGGTCAGCAAGAGCGATCTCTGGGAGTAAGCCAACCGGCAACCAATTGTGCAAGAAATATACAGGAAGAAATGAAGGCGGATTGGCTTGGCCATACTCTGAGAAAACAAATTAACAAGTGACATTAAACGACAGGTCATCGCTTGACTGGAACCCTAATGGGAAGCGGCGAGTTGGTTGTCAGTGCAAGCGCAAGGTGACATGGAGGAAGTCATGTGAAGAGGAGATGAAAGCACATGGGCAGATGTGGAGCTAGGTGAAAACGTCAGCAGAGACGTGAACGCAATGGAAAGGTGTGGCTGAAGCCCTATGCACCTCTAGTAATTAAAGGAAATAGTACTAAAAATAATTTTGTTCTGCAGTACTTGTTCTGTACTAGAAAATAATTATCTTGCATATGTTTAGCTGCCTGATGGCAATGTTTAGGTAATTTTGAGTTTCTGATGTTATTATTGTTGAAAAGAACCACATAGATTTGACAACGTAGAACAAACTTTTTGCTGTCTTTGGAGAGTAGCTTGAAAATCCCTATTGAGTCATAAACAAAAGGGAAGACTTTCAGCGAAGAGACTCTTTTCAGGGAATTCATTCACATAGCTGTACAATCGCATTTATATATATTTATTCGTGTGTGTGTGTGTGTACATGAAGTTTGTCAAGTTTAGACAATTGATCAGGTAATACAAGAATGATCTTATATAGAAACAAGGTTAATTGGACAGAAACTAAAGTAAGATTGAGTTAGTAAGTTAGATGACGTGATATAATTGACTAAAATGTTTCAACTTGGGTCAGGGTAGCAACAGAGGTAATTACAGGTAGAGACTTAGTAGAAGTGGGGTAGAGAATAATGCCATTTAAATTAGAACTGAAATTGAGCAAATAAGTAACATAACTGACGTAACATAAACGACTAGAAATTGAGCGTTGGTCAAGTCAGTAACAGAGGTAGTGAGGTGTAGAAATTAAATCGGGTGGGGGTAGAGAACAGGAAAGTTGAAAATGTAAAATATTGCAATTGGGAAGACAAAATAATATTAATGAAAGGACAGAAAAAAGATCAGGTAGAATTTACTTGTCGGGTAATAAGATAGATTACGTCCATTGCAAGTGTTCAGCTGAACTACGACTAACCTTCTCCACAAAACCTAGATTCAAGTGAATGTGAAAGATAAGCTACCTCTGCTGTTCTCATCAATTTGTATTTATCAATTCACCTGCTCTTGTGAAGCCAGATATGTCGGCCGTACCTAGTGTTGGCTTCCCAAACGTATCACCGATCACTTACCAACATGGTTTTACAAAGGAGAAAAACGATGTCCCCACAGCTCCATCTTAGAACATCTGATAGAATCCAGACACCAAGCTACATCTCAGACAGACTTAAAAGTCGCCTACAGAGTAAGAAGTAGTCTTCCTAAAGGTGTACAAATCAGACTTCTTCAAACTGCAGAAACAATGGCGTATCACCTGCTAAGCCCTGAACTCTGCATACAGAAGAAGTTCATTCAATCACTACACTTGCAATGGACGTAATCTATCTTATTACCCGACAAGTAAATTCTACCTGGTCTTTTTTCTGTCCTTTCAATAATATTATTTTGTCTTCACAATTGTAATATTTTACATTTTCAACTTTCCTGTTCTCTACCCCCACCCGATTTAATTTCTACACCTCACTACCTCTGTTACTGACTTGACCAACGCTCAATTTCTAGTCGTTTATGTTACGTCAGTTATGTTACTTATTTGCTCAATTTCAGTTCTAATTTAAATGGCATTATTCTCTACCCCACTTCTACTAAGTCTCTACCTGTAATTACCTCTGTTGCTACCCTGACCCAAGTTGAAACATTTTAGTCAATTATATCACGTCATCTAACTTACTAACTCAATCTTACTTTAGTTTCTGTCCAATTAACCTTGTTTCTATATAAGATCATTCTTGTATTACCTGATCAATTGTCTAAACTTGACAAACCTCATGTACACACACACACGAATAAATATATATATATTTTTTTGATTTTTGATTTACAGCTGGATTCCACACTGTATTTTTGGTACAAGTATGGAATTTTCAGCATGGATATCGGTAGCCCAAATTTTGCAGGCCAACCATAGATATCAGGTGTGCGCCGGCGTGGGCTCGAACCCCGGACCATGTGCATGGTCGGCGAGAGTCCTAACCACTGTGCCACCGACGCACAGCGATTGAACAGCTATGTGAATGAATTCCCTGAAAAGAGTCTCTTCGATTAACGCCTTCTCTTTTTCATCTGTCTTTGGATTGTTTTGTGACTGTGTTTAGCTGTGATAGTTTTGATTAGCTATACAGCTTATTTTAACTATTGGTTTGCTTCACTCAAACCACAACGAGTCGGTTTGGGTCGTTATAATTTAGGCATACAACTGGCAAAAGTAGTTGAATACAGTGGAGAAAAAAGTGATGTTTTCTAATAGTCTGAAAGTTTTGCCCAATTTGTCTGTAAAGTGAAGGCTTCTCCAATGTTTCCCTTCTATTACTAATCATTTATGTCATAACCACAACTACTGAACTGACAACTTAATTTCAATTCTGTCTACCTAACAATTCATGACATATATTGATTGACAATAAATCAATTTTAACTATATTCTTAATATTTACTGATTATCTCGACTCTTATTGGTTAATACATTGTCAAATGACTTTCGTTGCACAATTAAGCACCAATCATATTCACCTAGCTTACTTAGTCATAAACAATATAATACAATTGAAATATAGACTGTCTAAGCAGTTTGATCGGATTTCACCTGATATTACTACGATTACAAACGTTGCTAAGATGCGTTCATACCTCATTTTCTGTTTAACTCTCACCTTATTCGCTGTGAATACTTCTAGTGCTGCTAAAGAGGATGATGAGTTAACTGAATCTGTCGAGGATATTGTAAGTTGACTGACTAACTAACCAAAATATCATTAATCACGTACTTTTTTTTATTTTTTGCTAGGCTAAAGCACTTATCAATCTCGGCTTAGATTATGTGATCCGATTAGATGAATGGCTTGATAAAAATGTTGGCAAGAAAGAATTGAAAGAGATTAAACAGAATTTAATGAAATTCAGTCAACTTGCTGTGAATTTCATTGATACAAGTAATGACCTGTTACTATGGCATAGATTACTAATACTAACAATTTATTTGTTTATAGCATTTGCGAGTATATTAACGGACGATGATACAGAAAAGGAGGAAAAGAAGACAAAACATTCAGAATTATAAAATTTTCATTGTCTGTATTAAACAAGGAAATTAAGTCTTGTGTATAAAGAATGTAAATAAAGAAATTTTCTTGCTTGAAAAAAGGTGCATTTGACTTATTGAATTGAAAGTACGCGGTAAACAATGTAGACTGTTTCTGAGTAATGCAGAACGCATATGATCAGCCCGCCCCCCGCCCAACTTTTGATGAGACGAAACAAACACTTGAGTTAAACGTAAAATCAAGAACACAAAATATGACTAATAGAGACCGATCTTTTGATTGGACACCAGTAACAAGTGTGATGTGTCTAGTCCTTACTTGGCTGCAGACTGAATTCTATCAGTCAGCTTTGTAATATGGCCACCATTCCAGGTAGCTCACCATCACGGTGCATATTGATCTGATAATATTAGATAGTTTGAGGCAATCGGCCACAGGAAGGCTTGCTCAACCTAGGTTTCGTGCGAGTTGGCACTCACCAGTCAGTCAGCAAGGCGTATCTGCAGCCACCTTGAAGGAAGTCATGTCCCTTCTGAGACATTCGAACCCGTGTCACCCAGTGAGTGGTGCAGTCAGGGGTGTTTCCGCTGAGCTATCCTGCCTCGCGATTGCCCTCCTGTAGGAGTGCAGTGAATATTTTGATTGGACACTAGTAACTAGTGTGATATATCTAGTCCTTTCTTTGGTGCAGACTGAGACCCATCTATGTAAGGAAAAGACATCTGAAACCTTTCGTCGGATTAAAAACTCAAATAGTTTCAAATTTCCTAAGCCAAAGTACCCTGTTGATCCATTGAAGCCTTCCAGTGACTATACGATCAACTACATAGGTCAAACAAGAAGATCAGGGTCAGTCAAGCTATTTGAAGATACGAATTAAACTGAGTGTAGAATAAATGACTACAAAAGGTGACTTACTTATGGAGAAGCTCGTCAGTCGCAATCTACACACACACATACAGGTTTAGGATCAGAAATATAGTCCTAAAAGTTAATATAGGTAGGTGCAGATAGAGGTGTTGATTACTGAATTTGAGTTCATTAAATCAACATCAAATAAGCACAATAGGAATGACATCACACTGATACCAGAATTATGAAAAAAACTTATTACGAATAAAATCAAAGCATAAAAGACGAAGAAATTATGTAGGTTATGTGAGTATCTCGATAGAATTATGAGCAACAAAATACGCTCAAAACATCATCAATAAATAAATGATACTGTGTTATTCTGCTTTGTATCAAAATAAAATCATTCTATTATACAATGATACTCTGCTGCTGTAGCCAGATTCCATTCTTAGAACCTAGATACGGATAACAAACATCGAATTATAAGGTGACCGGGCTAGTTGTCTCTAAAATCATTTTCCAGGAGATGTAACAATCACGACTATGTTGAAATGATTCGTGTTCCACAAAGGAATAAGGGATGAACATTCAAAGCAAGGTTAAAATTGTTGGTATTAGATAGTTGGAGGCAATCGGCCACAGGAAGGCTTGCTCAACCTAGGTTTCGTGCTAGTTGGCACTCACCAGTCAGCAAGGCGTATCTGCAGCCACCTTGAAGGAAGTCATGTCCTTTCTGAGACATTCGAACCCGTGTCACCCAGTGAGTGGTGCAGTCATAGACGTTACCACTAAGTTATTCAGGCTCGCGATTGACCTCCTGTAGGACTGTATTGGATACTGGACTGAATTCAGTCTGCGCCGAAGATACGACTAGACACATTACACTGGTTACTGACTAGTGTGCAATCAAAAATAAGGTTAAAACCTTAAAAATGAACAAGCTTCAATTAGAAATGGAAACATATACAACATGTACAACTCATTCATAAGATAAAAATTACCATAAGTAAGGTTAAATATCGATCTTCAAATGCTGGTTTTCAGAGGTCCCGAATTGATATCATTTAGAGGACCAACACCAACAGCAACAACAACAACAGATGACGGTCAGCATAAATAGGAAGAACCTGAAAGAAACAACCTCCTTTACCTACCTACCTGGGGAGCATCGTTTCAACTACAGGTGGACGGAACTGACAAGGATATTAGAGCCAGAATCAGAAAAGCAAGACAAGCCTTCATTACTCTCAAGTCTGTGTGGAGGTCAACAGCACTCACTATCAAAAATAACATCCGGATTTTCAACACCAACGTGAAGTCAGTCAGTGCTACTCGCTATACGGGTCAGAGACTTGGCGCCGTGTCATACAGAGCATCTCAAACAAACTTCAGACCTCCATTAATAGTTGTCTTCGATCAATACTACTCAAGATCAAATGGCCAGAAAAGATCAGGAAAAAAGATCTCTGGGAGAGAACCAACCAGGAACCGATTGTGCAAGAAATAGGCAGGAAGAAATGGAGCTAGATTGGCTTGGCCATACACCGAAGAAACCATCAAGTGACATCACTAGACAAGCCATTGCTCGAGTGGAACCCGAAAGGGAGGCGGCGAGTTTGTCGTCAGTGCAAGGGTGACTTGGAGCGGAGTGAAAAGGTTTGCAGAAAACAAAAGGCAATGGAGACCTGCAGCTGAAGCCTTATGTTCCTCTAGGAATTAAAGGATATAATAATAATAATAATAATAATAATAATAAAGGACCGAGGAACTCTGAACAGCTGTATGGCTTTTGCTTGGGACTTGACGCAGACGGCATTGAAACTCAGAACTTTTTGGTTATGCAGTGAGTTCATTTACCATCCCATTAGTTAGATGGCATCCAATGTCTCATGAGTTCTAGGTTCTTTGAATTTATAATACATTTCGTCCCACTTTTAGCCAATAACGTCAAGCAGTATTAAACAAAACACGCGACTTTGTAGGTCACAGTAACCTCCCACTAGAACTTCATCTACACTCTGTGAATAGTAAGCAGTAATCATTTATTTAATATCGAATTACTTTTTCCAGTAATTTCACTGGTTTCAAGTTGAGTGTGCTAATTAAAGTAGTTATATTGAAGTTAGCAATAATGGATGAAGGGTAACAACACACGAAACAGAATATTACTTTTACTACTTAATTATCACGAGTAGTGTGAATTTTACGCAGAGAAAACTGTCGTAATACTATGAAACCTTTAAGTTAATAGTTTACAAAAGAATTGGACTCCTGCATAATATAATTAATATTTAAGATCGATAAATTTTACGATCATGCACGGAAGTCAACCAAAAATTGATATTTATTCATCAGAAGCTGTCATTGCAGCCCGCCATACTCAGGATCAGATAAACGTTAGAGAGACCATAGAGTGACATTACGCTTGAGGCTCTCTAGTGGGACCTAAGTGGGAAATGACGAGTTGAGCATGTATCTAACAGTGACTTGGAAAAGATCGTGAGAGGAAGAGGTCAAAGATTGCTAAAGAGCACTTCACAGGACAGGATGATATAGGGATGTGCTGTTGAGGACTTATATTCCACTAGGAAGTCAAGGGGATTATTATTACTAACTGTTTCTGTATTAGTCCCATCTTAAAATACTAACCTTTGACGATTGTCCCACCCTATTGTTTGACAGTATTTAACTGAATACAATGGGACTCCTGAGTTTCTGTCTTGACTAGTCAATCTTTCTGTGGTCAAACATTCTACACTTAGTTAAACTCAAACTTTCCTTAAACCTAACTAGGCCCACCTTACTGAATACACCCACGTAGTTGAAATCACTATCATTGGAACTCATCCTGCAGATTGAGTTATTTTGCCTAATTGTGCCAGTAACCACCTGTAGTCCATGATGGAATTGTAATCTCGTATCACAGTGTTGGTGTATGTATTCTCTGAAAATATCATCAAGAGACGTGTCGATACTTGATGGACTTGACTTGCAGGTCAGAATATCACTTGGTGTGACAAGTGAAGTGGAATAATTTCACGACTACATAGTTTTACTTGGAACATGGTACAATACTATTTATTGAATTTGAAAAGGCAAAATAATGTTGTCAGGGAACTTAACCCTAAGTTCCTATTATTCGCGAAGACGCTCCGAATCGATAATTACTGTAAACGATTGTCGAGAATAACTTCAGAACACAAGGACTTGTAAGAAAGAAATTGTATTATTCGGCGATTAAATTCTTTATCGTACAAAAGTCTATAAACATATGTTTTACAAGGAATGTACTGTACTTTAACTCGTATTCTTTCGTCTTCTTCCAACTTGTACACGATTGAATCATTCGCGCCTTCAAGTTGCCCACCAGTTCCAATAAACAAACGTTTAATGTTCACGTTCATTTACAACTATCTTCAGTCGCATTACTTCGAGAAACCTTACTTTCACAGCATTAGGCAAACAGTTTACTAGCCTGTAAACCAGCCTTTCTACTACTAGCAATGCTCTCCTTAATAATGGTGGACTGGATCAACTAGCAGATCATTAAGAAAGAGAAACCGGACTGTTAAAACACCCGGGAATATCCAGATTTCGAGGTGGATTCAAGTCTTATTTTACACAAATGCTGAGATGCACAAGTGGTAATCAAAACGTTGACGGAGTAGACAAGGCAGGTAAGCATGGAGAAGACAGAAATGATAAAGCCAACTAACAAACAAAAACAAGCACCAATCACCATCACTGATAGTCACCTAAAAGAGGTCGTCTTCATCAATTCCTTACCTGAACAGTATCATTTCTACTACAAATCCCACTGATAAGAATGTCACTGGCAGCCAGGATCGGATGATAGAAGAGAAACTGTCTTTCACTAGTCTGAGATCTCTGAGGAGATCTAAAACACCTAGTTATCTGTAGTAATTTATTGTAATAGGAATATTAGTATTTCGAGATGACCGAATTACACGAATCCAAACAAAACACAGAGAGGGCAGAAGTCAGGAATCACCACTCGATTTCCCATTTTTGTAGTATAATTCCAACAGAAGATCTGTAGTCATTCCCTTTGTAATAATGTACATTAGAAGTCATAGACATCAGATGCTTTTTGAGAATTCGAGATTTGAAAAGTTTTGCAGGACTTTCACGGGTACTTGTATGCTCTGCATTCGACAGACGCAGTCTATGCATATGCAGCAATTCCTCCATTTTAATCAGTTGCTCTCTCATCTCATTCAG